GAACCAAGAACTTTCATATGGGTGAGATATAAATTTGTCTTTTTACGTTTAAGGAGCTACTAGGGTGGAGTAGACTAATTTTTTGTGGAATGTTGCGTTAGTTTTCACTAAATATGCTGAATTTTTTAAAAGTAACACTAAATTCTTATTTATCTAATTAAAAGTAACACTAAGTTCCGCCCTTTGTTACTGCATACATCACAAATGCGTCAAAATCATAATTCTCCTTTAAGTAATATATTAATGTATAGTAATTAGTGAGCATATTCTAACAAATTATCCAATTGACAATTATGACCAAAAAAAGAAAATAATTGGCAATTACCTGGTGCTACTACTTTTAAACCTGATTGCGAGTTTATTCACCTCAGGATAGTTGACATCAGGCTCACTCCTAATTAAATTAAAATTGAATTCTGCAAAATTAGTATCTATATATATGTAAAACTCCAATTAGTTCATGGAAATAGTGAAGGAAATTAATTACAGATTTCTTGTGAGTTCGGCTCTGTAATCTTCAGCTACACGAAGGAAGATGGTGATAATTTCGTCAACGAAGCGAGGGTTGATTTCATCTTGTAACTCTTTTATGTCGTCAAAGTAGTCGGTCAAAATGCCCTGCCAGGAAACATATACCATATTTCATAAAGCTTACCATATTAATCTTGTAAAAACTTAAAAGAAAAGCAAGATATATTTATAAGCAAAGCAATATAATGGGGGTGAACTGACTTGTTCTTGCAAGGAGCTGATGAGTTCCTCGAGCTGTTGGCTAAGATCCTTCCCTTTCGCAGCCATTTTCTTCGTTGAGAGAGAGAGAGAGAGAGAGAGAGAGAGAGAGAGATGAAATTGAAGTGAAATGAGAAAAGAGAAGGCAATAGAGAGATCAATTAATAAACAAAACCTCTTGTATATATGCATGGTTTTATAGCCTCTATATATGTTGTTTTTCATGACACATAGCATGCATATGTTGCTAGCAGTATGCAGTGTGAAGTAGCATGAGCTTTGCATGTCTCTTGTTTCATAACTTCATCATGAGCTTCACGGTGGTCTTTCTATATTTCCTTGGCTCCTTTATATATGCATGCTTTAATTAATATGTAGGTACACATGTTGACTTTGGGTTGATAAATTATCATTTGGGCAAATTTTTGAGTTCGATAACTTCACTAAATTTAAACCCAGCCCGCGTGATGTTTCATTAGATAATTCATCCTATATATTATATTATTTTAATTATGTACTTAAAATGAGGTTAAAAAGTGCATTAATTAATCTATTAAAAAAGAGTGAGGTTAAAAAGTGCATGAATTAATCTATTAAAAAAGAGTCTAGGCGGGCCTGGCCAAGTCTAAATGGACTTAGAAGGGTTGGACCGTGGGCAGGCAGCCTTACCCAATTAAAGAATGGGTAGGACTTTGGCCCATCGGGCCTCGTGCAACCCACTTCGGCCAATAAACCACGGACCAAATAATGATCCATGACTAGAACCAACGGTTTGGGTCCATGACTATATTACTATATCATTATATCTGGATATATATATATAAAAAAATAGGAACCTTTTGCTTTTGTTTTTGGTCAAAAGGAACCTTTTTTGAACACCTGGTAGGTCCTCATGCCAGTAGGAGTGGGCACAATCCAGATTCAATCGGTTTCACCTCAAAACCACGACCAAAACAATTACAATATAATGGTTTGGTTAGACCAATTACAACAAAAAATTCTCAACTTGCTACATATATATATTTTTTTTTTTTCATTTATTAGAGTATCAAACCTTTGTAAAACTCAACATGACATAAAACTTCAAATTTCAATAACTAATACAGCTATAATTCAAATATCAATAACTCAAAAGGCCCATCAAACTTCAAATTCAAGATCCATATGTAGTTATTATCTAATTAGAGTACATGTAAAATAAAATAAAAATAAATATACCAGTATGAATTGCTCTTTATTTGTTCCTTAGATTAAAGATTTAGTTTAGCAAACTTTGGTTTCTTTACTTTTATTTTTTGGCCAACTTCTTTAATTTATGATATGTATCTTAGCCTTTTTTAATTACTTTAATTAGTAATTATATTTTAATTATTATTTCTTTAGTGAATATTTAAATATTTTACTGATTTCATAAATTACTTAATGAATAGTAATTAATTATTTTAAATTATTTTGTGGACTTTGGTTTATTAGGAAGTTTATTATTGTGGTTGATTATAATTTATTTCACCTAATCTAGATATGGTCAATGACTAGTATCTAATTTTCAATAATGTAATTAAAAATCCTTTAAATTACACACATTGCCACCCATACCCATATATTTTAGTAAATTTATTTAAAGCCAATCACACAACGCCACTTGAAGGGACTCGAACCTTGACCCTCAAAGGATAAGCTTCAATTGCAAACCACTACACCAACCTTGTTTTTGTGATATTTTGTTCATTTAAAAAATATTTATATTAACAGTCAAAGGTTTTTAGAATAGAAACTATGATGTGTACTTTTATGGTACTCTTATAGTGGTATTTTTTTAGGTGTATAATAGAAACTCCAACACAATGTGTATATTTTTTTTGTTACTCTTATATTGATATTTTTTTAGGTTTATATAGTAAAAACTTCAACACATGGTATATTTTTATGTTACTTTTATATTGGTATATTTTTTTAGTTTATAGAATAGAAACTGCAACGCAGTGTGTACTTTTATGTTACTTTTATATTGGTATATTTTTTTAGTTTATAGAATAGAAACTGCAACGCAATGTGTACTTTTATGTTACTATTATATATATATTAGGTTTATAGAATACAAATTGCAATATAATGTGTACTTTTATGTTACACTTATATTGATATTTTTATAGATTTATAGAATATTTTTTGCAATACAATGTGTATTTTTATGTGACTCTTATAGTGGTATTTTTTATGTTTATAAAATAGAAACTATAACACAATGTGTACTTTACGTTACTCTTATATTGGTAATTTTTTTTAGGTTTATATAATAGAATTTGCAATACATTGTGTACTTTTACGTTACTCTTATATTGATATTTTAATAGGTTTATAGAATATAAATTTCGACAATGTGTATTTTTATGTGACTCTTATATTGGTATTTGTTTAGGTTTATAAAATAGAAATTGCAACACAGTGTGTACTTTTACGTTATTCTTATATTGGTATTTTTATAGGTTTTAGAATAGAAAATGCAATAGAAATGCAATACAGTGTGTAATTTTACATTACTCTTATATTGGTATTTTTATAGGTTTATAGAATATAAATTGCAACACTGTGTATTTTTATGTGACTCTTATATTGGTATTTTTTTAGGTTTATAAAGTAGAAATAGTATAGCCGCGCGGCTATAATCGGTTTTGTCCTAATTTTTTTTAAAAAAAAATAGTCTAGCCGCTCGGTGTTGTGTAGATACAGCTGCACCAAAATGGATCCAGTTGCATCCTCAACTTGTGATACTCGCAAGTGCACGAGCCGTTTGGTAGTATAGCATATGTAAGTGCGAGGTCGATCCCACGAGGATTGGTGATTGAATGATCCAATTCATTTTTCCTACACAAAACAGAAATGAAAAAGAAAAGAAATAAATAAAACAAGGAAGAAATAAAATAACTAACTCAAGCAGATAAGTTCCCAAGTTCAATTAGATTAACGGATTGATTCTAGCTAATGTATGATTAAGCCATGGTGTGTGGTCATAACCTTGTGTTCCTAATTCCCTAATTTGATCATTTGTTGTCTAACCTAAAATTAAGCATTAGGAACTGTTGCGTAGATTTAGCTCCACCAAAATGGATTAAGCTGCATCCTCAACTTGTGATACTCGCAAGTGCACGAGCCGTTTGTTAGTATAGCATATGTAAGTGCGAGGTCGATCCCACGAGGATTGGTGATTGAATGATCCAATTCATTTCTCCTACACAAAACAGAAATGAAAAAGAAAGGAAATAAATAAAA